AAGTAAACTTAGCAGGTTTACTAGCAATCCGAGTAATAATCATTGGAAGGCCATTGGAAGAGTTATTGGATACTTAAAGAAAATCAAGAACCTGGGCATGCAACATACTAAATTCTCGATGGTATTGGAAAGATTTACCGACACTAGTTGGATATCTAGTGAGGGTGAGAGTAAATCCACTTCGGGTTGGGTGTTTACTCTTGGAGGATGTACTATTTCTTGGAAGTCAAAGAAACAAACATTCATAACACACTCGACTATGGAATCAGAATTCATAACTCTATTAGATAACGGGAAAGAGGCTGAGTGGCTAAAAGATCTATTCTACGAAATACCATTGGGATCGAAGAATATTTCGTCAATACCTATCATGCGTGATAGTCAAGTCACATTAGAAAAATCATATAATGAGGTATACAACGGAAAGTCTAGATACATGAGTCTTAGACATGACTATATAAGGAAATTAATCAAGCATGGAATAATTTCCCTAAATTATGTAAGGTCAATTGAGAATTTGACGAATCCTTTGACTAAACCTCTAAATAGAGATTTGGTAACATCTACTTCGAGTAGGATGGGGTTGAAACTCCTTAACTAAAAATGTTCACCAATGCCAGCAACCCTACCTGTCATTACTCAAAAGGTAATTTACGGGTTCAAAGGGTATCAACAAGTCATTCGATATGTAGATAGTTACAGCATTATTAAAATCCACAATAATCCTATCCTAATTAAAATAATGTTGGCTGTTATTGAAATGAGGAATGAGCCTTAAGCTCTTAATGAAATTCAGTACTAAAACACACAAGTACCTCTAAAAGTAATAAAGATACTGGAAGAACTTCACCTAAACAATCTTCAAGGCAGTGTCGTCTTAATAGAGAGTTCGAGTTTCTCTCTTAAAAGATTGTTGAAAAGGATAAGCGCAAGGCAATAAAAACGTTAAGCGAGTTATGAGGAACTTGAGAACACGTGGTATTCGTGTGTGTGTTTTTACCGGTATTGTCATATGGAATAACTGTTTCAAAACTACATGCTACCTTTGATTCCGACTATACTTTGTTTGAATTATACTATGGTTAGATTCAAATCGGAAGATATCTAATCCTTATGCATAAGTATCGTATACTATGAATTTTGAGACTTGTTAATTTTGAACGAGTGGGGGATTGCTGTGATTATATTGTTCAAAACCAACAACTAAATAAATTAAAAATAAAAAATAAAATTGCTCCATGGGACCGCATGGCACTGCATGGCATATAGCCATGTGGTCGCATGTCTCGGCATAGGTGAACCATGCGACCGCATGGGTTTGTACCATGCGGTCGCACGATACAACTTTTTGACCATTTTTTGGCTCTTTTTGGCCTTTGCAAATTTAAAATTGGTGACTTTTCACTTGATTTTTTGGCACCATTTCATACTCCTGACCGATGGCTATATATAAGAGAGTCATGTTTGAAGGAAAGATATTAGAAAAATATTTTGTAATCCATACTTTTTTCTAAGAACAATAAAAAAATCCCTATTTATTTTCATATTCAAACCTTGTGTTCTTCAAGTTTTTAAGAATTTTCACTGATGCTTTGGTGATTCATTCTTGTTAAGACTTACTAAAATCATACAAATCATTTGCCATCAACCTTCGAAGCATCTCAAATCAATAAGAGAAGGGACAAATATCGTTTGACGACAACGATATTGTGTTCAAGTCATTCTCTGATACAAGTTCGTGATCATCTTATTCTTGACGTTCCTGGTTTATGCTTCATGATTTCTACTCCAAACCGGTGAAATTTTAACAACTCCAAAATGTGGTGTTTTCTTAAAAGTTCTCCAAACTACAAAACAACATGAATACACATATCAAAACGATCAGAAGTGTTTAAGAACAAACCAAAAACTCGATTTAGAGGCGTTAGTTTAATGATTGAATTACACTCATCACATGTAGCAAAACTCCTAGTTATGTGGTGTGTAGGAATCTAAACAAAGTATGAGCTCCAAAACTCTTAGTTATGTGGTGTGTAGAAATCTAAACAGAGTACGAGCTCCAAAACTCACATGGGCCTGCTTCCCTCGCCCCCCCAGCAGAAGTCTTTGTCATGTGGCGTGTAGGAATCTAAATAGAGTACGAGCTCCAAAATATCAACGAGCTAAGTGTTGTGTAGTGTCATGGGGAGGGGAAGTCGGAGTCTGTAGCCATGTAGTTTGTTCTTAGAGATGTGGTGTGCAGGAATCTAAACAAAGTACGAGCTCCAAAATATCAACGAACCAAGTGTTGTGTAGCGTCATGGGAGCTAAGTGTTGTGTAGGGTCATTGAGGAGAGTGGGGGCCACTAGTGGTGTCAGGTTTTGCCGTGAACTTTGTAGCATATATTGGAATACAACAAAAAATATTAAAAATCCAAGGGCCCTTAAAAAGAGCTGGGCTTTCTGATTGAACGTGCATGTACTAGTTCATAAATAATTGAATTAGTTAGACATTTCATAATGTGGCCAAAGGGAGGTCATTGATTATTTTAAATGTTGTTGAAATTAATGGTACAATTGCGTACTACACCATAGAATATAAACAAAACTGTGAACCAAAGATGTGAGTGTAGCAAAACTGTAAATAATTACTGACTCAACCTCGTGGCTACGTTATGTCGTGCATGTTTGTGCTGATGAATCTTTATTTGGAATTGACATTCAGTTCTCCCTTTTTAATTATCTTTTATAATATTTATTCAACCCTTTTATACAAAGGAAGATCTACTCAATCAGAGGATTGATTCTGCAACTTAGTCTCACTACCTTGCAAATTGTCATCTGATAATTCTATAAAATAATATAGAGTCATTCAAGTGTTGATTTTTAAAACTTCTTTACGTGTATATGTGACTTCTTTTTTTTTTTCTTCATATGTATTAATCTCTTATTTTAGTGTTGTTGGATTTTAATATTCAATACTTCTCCTAGGCAACGATGTTAAATCATTAACGATGTTAAATCATTAATTATTCAATCGATATCGACCAAATAATTGAAGTGAAATATCGACATCTCAAATGGAATGATCTGAGCCTGCAACTATTTTAGGCCATTGGAAGTAGCCTAATTCAATTAAAGCTTTTGTTCTCCAATGAGTGGTCTCGTGTCCTTCGTCAGGTCAAGTTTTCTTATTTTGATTAAATGTTCTCGTCTAGTCAATTTTTTTTCTTTATTCTGTCCAGCCAAGTCTTTTTTTTTTCTTGATTTAATTTGAATTAGGACTTCAAATTAATTCAAATTCCGTTAGATGTTGGCTATTCTTTTTGTTTCCTTATTGGAAAGTTGGTTTTCGAGAAAATTGAGAATAATCTTGTTGTTTTTTCATCGAATTTATTCCCATCATATTCGTCGTTTTAGCATCCTACGATGCCAGAGTTCCTGTTTCATCTGTATTTCCTTACCCATGGATTTTCGGAGTGCTATTATTAAGCCCCTGTTTGGCCCCCATTTCATAGAAGTGAAAATTGGTGAAATAGTATTTTTTTTTTTTTGGAAAAATTGGTGGTTGAAAAAGACGGAAAAATTTTCGATTTACGTGTAATATTATTTTATGGAAGATTGTGTGATTGAAAATAAGAAAGAAAAAAATGGAATGTAATGTAATGAAAATTAATGGGGGCCAAACGGGGGTTATGGGCATGTTTGAGCCCCATTCTTTTGAAAAAATATATTTTTCAACAGTGTTTTGACATCATTTCAACCACCCATTCTTCAATAAAATAATACTGTACGCAAATTCAAAATTTTTTCTTATTTTTTAATCACGCACTTTCCATCAATATACTATTCAAAAATCCATTCTTCCCAAAAAAATGGGGCTCTAAATATGGTCTACCTTTGCATATATGGTTATTAAAATCATTTGAGGTTTTTGTTTTGACCTTGTTTGTTATAGTTGTGAATTTCTCCTTCAAGTCTTAGTGATGGTTTGGTTAGATTGGTAGATGATGATCATGATAATTTTTCATTCTTACCAACTTTGAGTTCTTTGTTTGGCTTGGTTAGCATGCAAGCAATTTTGAAGTATCATTCGATCATTGGAAGAAGAAGATTTGATTGAATCAATTTAATTTTTGAACTCAATTTGATTTTCACTGTACCATATTGACTTTAAGGGATGGTGTTGAAGATACGGAAAGATTGTAAAGAACACTCATTATGTAGGATTATTTTCCTTAATAGTTGATTGTATGATTATTACACAATTTTTCGCCAAATTTTTGTTGATTAAAGTCTCTAACCCCATATTCCTTTTCGCCATTTCTCTCTTTTCCACCATTTAACCCACGAAGAACAATCAAAAAGAGAATAGAAATTTTTTTACCGTTAATATTTTTTGATTGCTCTACAATAGTACAAAACTACATATACACCTATTTATTGGTGCTGATTATCCACTTGTTAATTGATATTTCGTGATTTTTTTTTATAGAAGGGTAAGTTTTTGTTACATGAAAAAGGCACCATTTTTTCTTTTACTGGTGCCAATAATTTTTTTTTTTTAATTTAAATTACATGAAGGGGACACCACTTTAAATTGTAACACAGCCACATGGCTCCCAAAATTTAAGATTGGCCCTGTGCACACCTAAACAGTACGTTGCAACATAAAATCCAAACCTTGCACTACCAGAACATGTTTTTTATTGCACCACCAACCATCTGGATTTTCATCTGAATAGGAAAGTCATTCATACTGTATAAGTACTGGAGAATACTCTATCACAGTCAGACGTACACATTATTGCAATATTAAAGTAAAAGTAAGCATATCACATTCATACTCATTAATATATATATATTAGGGATTGAAACTTCTTCTTGAGGTGTCTAAAAATAATAAAATTTGACATACATTTCCACAATATTAGTGTCTTCATCACTAATTACCCTCAGTGGTCAAAGCCATCCTTTGCTTTTGAGCAGATGTTGGAAGCTTCACATCAGTTGCCAATCCAATTGCTTCAAGAAACCTTATAACATACCAAGTCATATCAATCTGCCACCATTCTAGCCCCTGTCTAGCAGAATATTGAAAGGCATGGTGGTTATTATGCCAACCCTCCCCAAATGAAAGCACAGCAACCCACCTGAGAAATATTAAAATTTGTGACTTTTAGAATATGTATAAGAAGATTAACAAGTACTTCCCAAACATAAGATGTATGTAGGCATACAGTAAGTCTATAACACACCAGTTATTTTTGGAAAAATCACCCGTATTCCATGCCTGCTTCCCCCAAACATGGCAAGCTGAATTTACTAGCCAAGTAATATGGTACACGAACGCCAATCTCACACCCTGCATTGCCATATATATATATATATGTCAATACTTATAACAGCTCAATTTTATAATAAAGTATTTAATTATTTTACCTTATCAGTTTCCAACATATTAATTAAGTAGATTAAGTTGAGACAGTATTTCACTCCTTTAATCTTTTAAACGTAGTAATGATCACTTCAATTTTAGTATAGCTGACATTGGTTGAAGCATAGTTTTAGATCTATCGATTTTGAATTTAATTGGAAAAACTTATTGTTATTTTAAGTTAATTTTTTATTATTAAAAGAATTAAAGTACCCAAAAGAGGATAAATTCAACCGGAATAATCAATTAACTCATACATTCTGCTTTAGCTAAAAGGATAACTAATTTATAACGAACAGTTGTGAAAACCCCCCTTATTTTATTATATAATGACAGGGATTTAATTTTTTAAACTGAATCAAAATGACTAATTTATTATTTACGTGTCCATCCTTAATTATTTGAAAATAAGATACGTATTATAAACTTATTGTCATAGTAAAAAAATATATTATACCAGAATATAATTAATGTACAATTTGTGTACAATAAAATGACATAGAATATATAAAAATATACATATCATTTTGTATTTATTTTATCATATGTATTTAGTATATTATATACTAAAAGTTTTATATATTTTTTTTATATACTTATTTGTGTGTGTATCACACCCTTAAATGAAATTATTAAGGCCAGAAAGAATAATAGATACACTTACAAGTCCCCAAACAAAGTATGGAAGTCCTCCCAATGAGTATAATAGTGCTCCAGGTGCAACTAGATGGATTATATAGGTACTTTGAATAAATTTATAGAAGGGTTGCTTCTCTAAATCTCCAACATTGTCGGGTTCTCCACACTGCAAATCCCAAATAGTAACTAATATTGTAAGAAAGTCAATAGAATATTTCAATTACGAATATAGAATATTATACCTAAAAGATGTACTCAATAATAATTATAGAAGGGTATCAACGTCATATAAAAAAGTTGTAATAAGAGGAGGACATGAGGCCAATATTTCTATTTACTAGAATATACAAATTTATAAAGGATAAGTCAATAAAAGTGTGTTAGATTTTATTAAAATATATGTGATTGAAATAAGGTGAAATCACTTTTAAAGAATACATTTTGATCGAAAAATGGGTCTCAAACAATGTAAACAAATAAGAAGTGCAAATGATCCGTCTTTTGAATGTAATATTCCTTGTTTTCAATAAAATGCATACATCTCTTGGAATCTAAACCTTTTTGTTGACATTTTCATGCATCATCATCATCATAGTAATAATACTAATAATTTATTTCAATTCCACTACAAATATTTTGCTCAAAAACCCTTTCTCGTTCTTTTATGCTAATATTAAATCAAGTCGTGAAAAAATAATAAGAGGAAATTACCCTTTCCACAATAGAGCTTGTGTCAAAGATCCAACACGTGTGACTAAACCAGAATCCTCCAATAGGGCTATGTGGATCTTTTTCAGAATCACAAAACTGATGATGGTACCGATGCGTGCTTACCCAAAAAATTGGGTCCCTCTGAACAAATCAAGATTCAAGTTTTCACGTAGGAATATTTATACTTTGTAATGATGATAAAAATATGAAAGTCAATGGTTTAAACTGACCTGACCGGCTAGAACGCCACAATATGCGAAAAAATACTCAAGCCATTTGGGAATTTTAAAACTCCTGTGAGAAAGATGCCTGTGATAAGAAAGAGTGTTCAAGTTTTCACGTAGGAATATTTATACTTTGTAATGATGAAAAAATATGAAAGTCAATGGTTTAAACTGACCTGACCGGCTAGAACGCCACAATATGCGAAAAAATACTCAAGCCATTTGGGAATTTTAAAACTCCTGTGAGAAAGATGCCTGTGATAAGAAAGAGTGATACCAAGAAGGCAAGTGACTATATATAATGCAATTGCTACCCAAAAAGCGCCCCAGTTGAACGTAAAGGGAGCAAAAAGGCATAGCAAATGTATTGAAACTATCCAACCCAGGGAGAACACATCCCAAAAATTCCACTTTCTACTCCAAAATACATTCCTTCTCTTCACCACCACATCAGGCAGCAAAATCTTCCCAAAGTTTTGGTCTTTTTCGTACTCTGGTGCTCTATTCACAATTGGTATTTTCGTTGTGTCATTTCCGACTTTTCTTTTGACGCCATAATCTAGGGAATTATGTGGTAACCTAATATTTCTAGCATAAATTACTGATTCTTGTTGCTTTTGTGTAATAGTAGTTTTTGTTGGTTTAGGGTTTGCGGGGCGAAGGCCTGAAAATGAGAGCGACGGTAGTGCTAGAACAGCCATTTTCATGCCTAAGGCTTGTTGGATAGTCTTGTTTATGGGTTGTTAGCTTTATATAGAGTATTAGAATTCTAAAATTTTTACTTCTTGAAAATTCTTGATGTAGATGTTTGAACCTACTAAAAAAGACTAAAAGAAAAAGAAGTTCGGGGCATCCTAGGGGTTATATTGGAATTTCCAGACAGATAAGATGATACTAGGATCAGGACCGTGCAAATTGTGTCTTGCATGTTTTTGTTGATTAAATTAGATATTTGCAAACAGTTTTGCAACATTGATAGAAGAGATTGACAGATAGCATAATAGAAGTAGAGGTGTTGAGTATTGATTCGTCCTTGAATATAAAAAAAGAATTAATCTACTTATAACAAATGTTTTACCTAATTTTTGATTGAATTGACAAGTGGTGCACCCTATTGGATGGGCGCCTGTCCACTCCAATAAGGGCGCGACACTTGTCAATTCGGTCATTCATTTGGTAAATAATTTGGTACATATAACATCTCCAAAAAAAAAAAAAATAGTTTTCTGGCAGTCAATGCAATTCATCCACCCGTGCTTCTGTTATCCCTTCTAGCAAGTGCTTCTGTCCAAGAAGCTCAATTCATTTGCAAACTAAAGTAAATCATTGATACCTCATTAAAAATTCCTCTCCCACTCTTTGATACCTCATTTTTATGTAAATCATTATATAACTCTTTGTGTCCAAGTAGCATCATTCATTTCCTAAAACATCAAAAATAAGGAAACATAAAAAATATTTTGTTGAATCGTTTGTCCAAAGAAGGAAATGTATTAATAAATTCATCTTAAAAAATAAGGTAAATTCTCTTACGAAAGGAGCATTGATAAGAGCATTTTATGCTCTTGTTCGAATTTCAATTCTTATTTATTTATTATCATTGTACTAAGTGGGTTTAAAATTAGGTTATTTTATGATTGATTTAAGTAAAAATTTGAATCGGACAAGTTTGGATGAAATTGGATTGAAATAATACAAAATGGAGGAATTGCGATCAAAATAATCAAGTCTTGAAGTTGAGAACCTGTAATGCAAATAAAGAGGACTTGAGATGCACAAGAAACTAATATGCAGAATTAAAGTGCACGAAATTGAAAGAAATTCCAATTTTTGATGGTTTCCTAATTACACAAAAATTCTACATTGCAGATGCTTTAGGATTCATTTTTAGAGTTATTATAGACTTCTATATATAGTTTAAATCATTATATTTTGGGACACACAATTTTAGGGGGAGAAAAAACAAAAACATCTTATCAAATGACCAAAAGCTAGGGTTTAAAGATTTTTTGAACTGGAGACTGGTGTAAAATCTAATTCTTTCCATCATCAAGATTTCAAATACTGGTTATGAACTCAATTCCCTTGAATTGTTTCTCTTTCATTTATATGAGTAACTAGATCATTAGCTAGGGAAAACAATGTAATTTATGTGTGACCCTTTAATTTAATTTTCATGTGTTGATTTTATTTATGGAGTTTAATTTTTTGAATCACTAGGCCATAATTTGATGATTTTGTGAATCTATAACAAATAAGGGGGTAAATTATAAATATAGACTACATAATAAAATTAGATAATTAGTTTAAAAGTATAGAGATACATTTTTAGTTAGTGTGGTCGTTACATGGATTCTTAGAGATTTAAGATGTTTAATTAAGGTGCACTCGGACCCACATAGAGATATGAAATAAATTTAATTAAATAGAATCAATTTGAACTTGAAACACATAAATTGCATATGTTAGAAGAATTCGATTGAATACTACAATAGTTATGAATCTTGATTAGCGAACTAAAGGAGATTCATAGATGAAATTGTAAGTCCTAACATCTACATTCATATTTAATAAATCGAGTTTGATTAATTGTGTGCATTTAGATCAATTTAGTATAATTAGAATAATTTACACAATCAAATACCAAACTATATTTTTGTTTTTCATCAATTAGGAGTTAGAAATAATAAATTAGGATTTAAATTATAGTTCTCATGAAAACGATAATTCAAACTACATTTCTATCATATATGTTGATATTTTAATACCAATGATTTTAAATACCATTAATCATATAAAAAACTTCATCGAATCAATCTAAATCCTGTATGATACAACTGAAAAATTGATCAAATTTAAATTAAATTCAACAAAATTGTTTATACACACAAGTGACTTTAGTCAACTTTTCAATTATGCATTTTACCATACTCATTTAATCAATTAAATTTTTTCATTTTATTTTGGGAATCTATACAAATAATTAAACTTGTAATTAAGCCATTATTTAAATCCTTTACCTTAAAAATCTTTATTTTTTTATATTTATTTTCAACCACGCATTCACAAAATAAAAATATTGATTGTGTTACATGTACATAATGCTTTTACATACGCATGATTTGATAAACTGTTATGTAACTCCATTATGTACAAGTAACATTATTCCATAAAAATATTTTGTACTTAAATCCAGTTTTTTATTTTATTTTTTAACTGTATATTTTTCAAAAAAAAATTACTATTCAAAATATCAATCTTTTTTTCAATTTCCCTTTATAATCACTATCAAATAGCGTTAAGTGCCTGTTTGACAGCAAGTCTCGCACAACTAGCAAATATGGATAGGGAGACAAAATTGTTATTAAATTCATGATCATGATCATGACCAACATAAAATTTCGCTGAAAGTTAAACAATTCAATGATACATTTCAACCTTTCATAGAAGACTTAATTTTTCACACGAAAGCCATGTATGTGGTGTAATTCGTGATTACAAACTTCTCTTTCTTTACGTCTTCATACTTCCTAGCAAGAGAATCGAATAGTATTCCGGTGCCTATGCCGACGCCAAGTCAATCGTGTAGTGCCCTCTAGTACTCAACATCCTTATGGCTTGGTTTATATAAAATATTTTATGACTATATTTTGGAGTTGTTAAGAATTCACTATGTAGATTTGCATGTGTTTTGCATGTTTTTGTAGAAAAGCGGTTTTTTGCTACGAGAAGTTTGTCCGGTGTGGTGGCCTTTGTTTTTGTTGTCGTAAACGGCACTTATGCTCACTCATGTAATTTATGGAACAAATGACACAAAATATAGAGGGACCTTTACCTTACTTTTTAGTCGGACCGTGCTGCTCTACCAGATCTGTAAATGATTTGGTAGAGTAGCTCCACTCATATTTGGGGGTAGGAGTGGGGATGGGTGTTTTTCGACATTTTTTTAATAATGGGTCCCATTGGGGGACCCATTGTTGTGAGAAAGGCTCCTCTACCAGATCATTTACAAGTCTGGTAGAGGAGCAAAATCCTTTTTAGACTGGTACAAGTTGATGGACTATGATTGTTTTCTTGGTAGCTGTAAGTGTAGGAATGGTAGGTTTAGACTTCAGTTTTGTGCAATTATATTTTATGTCCTAATAATTTAGTTTTATGATCAGTCAAAGGAATTTAAAGAGATAATGACGTGTTACTAATTAGAGGAGGACACTAGTAAATGCACTTAATCCTCTTCTTGTTTTCAATTATATCTTAAAGAGTCCAGAAGCCTAGTTGATATGAGGGCCATGACTCTTTCTACTATGATGTGCGACTTGACGAATCCACATTTCATGTTGGTTTTGGTCTGACTTTAATGTAATGTAAGAGTCTAGAAGTCCTGAATTCAAGTTTAGCAATCATAGATTGAAAACCATTCAACATGTTAAACTTTTACTCGAACAACGAAGAAAGAGAGGAACGCGATGAAATTAGATAATATAGATAAATCTTTCTTCTTTTTTATGAAATAACTTTTTAAGCGAGATGTAAACAATTTTAAGACTACACGTCTAAATACTATTTAGTAACCATAAAATGTTGCTAAAAGTTCAATAACTATTCAACGTTACATTTCGGCCTTTAAGGACTTTTTCGCACAAAGGCTACATATGCAGTGTCATCAGTGATTACAAACTTCTCTTTTCTTTCTATCTTCATACTTCCCGGCAAGGGAATCGAATAGTATTCCGGCTCCAATGCCAACGGCCAAGTCAATCGTGTAGTGGCCTCTAGTACTCAACAATCTTATGACCTGTAAAACATTTAGGGCATCAAATGTGTACGCCAACTCCCATCTTTGCATTCGTTTCATATCTAGAGACGCAATAATCGATGCAGCAACATGCCCTGAATAAAACAGGAAAAATGAAACATTTCCAACTGGGAAATCCACTCCGGAACCCAAGAATCCCTGTCAAGAAACAAGCAAAATAATAAATTCAAAATTATGATGACTTATATTTTATCAACATTTTCATGAACTTGCTTTTCTGCAAAATTCATTTCTTTCTCCTTTTTCATTGGATCTTGAAATCCACTTTTGTGATGCTACACATGCACCAGCTATATTTTGCAATTTGCACCTACTTACAGGCTGGCTGGCGCTCCCACCACAGAGTATAGATGGGGCAACTGGCATGGTAAGTCAAATCACGGAAATATATGCATCTGTGTCTTAAGAAGTATTCTACTGGCATTATGAACTATTGGATTGTCCTTTATGTCGGACTCTGCATAGAATTAATAAGTGGATACAACTCCAAGTCGATAGCATATATAATGTTGGATTTAATATTGCATCCCAGAAATGCACAAAGAGCGAATCAATATAAACTCGTGGCCGTGCTTGCTTAATTATAAAATTATGGCTATTTCGTAACATTAGGCAATTTCAAGAGTCCTTTTCGTACAGTTCACACCATTACCAAAAAAATAAACAAAATGATTATGGTGTCACATGGAGTTGCACTTGATTTCGAAATATAAAAATATAATGATAATTTATGATTAAATACCATGACCGGATCAAAGGAACAATATATCCACAAATTGTATGTTTAATTATCGAATAATCGGGAGATTGACAAAGTGCACAAGAAGAAATATGGCGCATAAAGACTCATTTTTTGTCAAACTCATTTTCAACGCTAAACCTACAATTTTTATCAATTTTTCGACCACATATTTTATTAATTTTTATCAAAATCTACTAAAAATCCTTTTTTTCCCCCCCCAAATCAAACAGCACTTCACCTTCTTTCTTTTTTTTTAGTCGAGAGAAGAATGATGGCACATGGTGCGGAGAAACTACTTTAAAATTGCCATTTTTCAAATTGCATTTGAATAAAGGAAGCTGGAATGAAATAAAAACCTCTGGTAGTGGCAGCTGTGTGGCATATCCAAGAATTCCTCTACATGTGAACATGAACAGGGCCGATATTGTGGCCCTCGGCCGACCCTCGATTAGCCACGTCCAAATTATATACGCAGTTTGCATTCCCACAAAAACCTTGTCATAAAACCAAATAAAATTAACTAACAGACAAACGAGTTTGGTACATAGTGATTGAATCGTTTACACAGTTTGGTACTCGCTCATACCGTATTGAGGCCAGCGAGAATAGTATTGAGAGCTGGCCTAGATTCAAGCAGCCGGTGGAGGGATACGGTGGCGACGAACCCCAGATCAAACGGCGGCGCCGTCGAAGGCACCATGTATAGAGTGTATTCTACTCCCATGAAGAAAAGCAATGCGGCGGCAAAGACACACGGTATAGGGTGGTGCCTCACTACACCCAACAAATCCTCCGCCGTCCACTTCATGAAATACGCATTCCCAAACAACCCATTAACAGAATCTGATGATTTCTTCTTCATATCTGCAAAACCTGTGTGTTTCTTAACTTTATTATCTCCTTTTGTAATGGATGCCGATTTATGAAGGGAACGGAGGTTGGCTCCGTTCATCGGCGGCGGGTTTAGAGTAGCTGCAAAACTGCATTAATATGGTGTGGGATTGATACAAATACAATATAGGCGTGGGAAAGGGATTGCGTGAACTCGAGAAATCTTGCAGATCTCGTAAATGGACGCACGCACACGCAGATTGCGTTCAGAAAAAACAGAAGAGGGGCGTTAGAATTGGAAAGAAAGTTGTCTCTATTCCTATTGCAAGTTTATAAAAAATTTGGGTTATTCCAATAGACTTTCCAACCATGTTACTATGGGCCCCCCCATGGCATCCTAGGAATGGAATAGAATGGTAGAGAGAGAGAGAGTCATTTTTCGAGTGAATTCCATTGAGGACATGACATAATTTTAATAAAAAATAAATAAATTGAAATACGGCAATAACCAAGAATGTCATATACGTTGAAAATGTTGCATAATAACCTCGGATTTGATTTCTGTTTTATTGTCTCAAACTATTATAATATTTTCAATGATTACGTTTAATAAGTCACAAATTTCAATACTATGTTTCTTAAATTATTTAAACTACATTTAAATTGAATGGTCATTGATATGTAAAATATTATGTTAAATAAAATACGATGAGAAATCAATAAATGTTTCTTGAAAAAAGGGAAATGAAGAACCCAAATAAAGAATACTGTTGAAGTGCATAAAAAATTTGACTCTCGAAATTTAAAGATACTCTCTATCATGCATAAAATGTTCTTAAATAAAGTGTCAGTTGGAAATGCTCTAACAAACTTCAATCATAAAATCATAGAACAAGTTCATTGAATAGCAATGGCGAAGTTGCAAGGAGAACGTAACCATCGAACATATACAAGCAAAACACGTAGACCTGTTCCAACTGCATAGAATTTTTTGCTCCAAATTTTGGTCAATTCCGAAGGCGATCCTTCCCTGATAGCATTTCATCTCAAAGTCGAGAACGTGATTTCCTCCGCACAAAGTATCTTTAAAATGTATTGAAAAATACGAGCAATCTTGAAGAGATCCGTTATTTTATGCCTTAACTAATGGACTAAACCTATTCTCCTTCCTCCTATGTCTATCAACATATTGACCATTTTCTCGCATGGCAAAAACGGAGTTTCCCCAGTCTTTCTTCCCAACTGGAAATTGGCGTATCGCCTCGACTAGCCCCATTCAAAGATGTGTATCTCATACGCTAAGCCACCTAAAGATTACAGCTCAGAAAAACTAAGGGAGCTAGAATGTACTATCTCGAAGATTGATCGGCAGAAGCTGCAACGGGGCTGATGCTAAGACCCACAAGACCATTTTCTTGCGGAGGGACAGTACCCCATTTTCCTTCCAGTTCCAGGGGCTCCAACATGTGCACCCCACCATCATTGAGTCCTAATGCAATTTGATTAGATTCGGATGGATGAGTCGCGATGACAAGTGGATATGCCCTTGAGCTGTATTTTAGATAATTAGACACCATTTCGAAGAAGAGATGGAGGTATAAATTAGTTCTTTTCTCAAGGGTAACAACATATGTACCTCGGATTAGAAGGCAAATAGGCAGCAGGATTAATGCGACACCTTAGTTTCAGTCCTGTAGCAGTGAGGACGCAAATGCTCCCATTTTCGAAGCTTGCATAAACTGATTGGCTGTCACATGAAAATGTAGCATCCGTAATTGCAGAGCTTGATTCTTGAGGAACCCACTGCAACACGAAGCTTTTTGAGTTACGAAATTTCTTTTTCTTTGCCCTGCTCTCTCAATCACATTTTCTTGGTTCTTGAATTGTAAGTTAGCAATATCCAAGGAAAAAAACACACACTACACACACAAGCAAACACATAATAAAGGATCTTGACAACTATCAAATATATCAACATAATATAATGAATTCTAGTGCCGATAAAAGCATCTAGAAAGCAGAAGCTTAGCACCTGTTTGACACAGTCGAGTTTCGAAGCCTCGTAGATGGCTAGTTGTGTTTCATGAACAACCAACACGTGAGCCTGGTCCTGATGAAACTGAACCCGTGTCTGTGCAAGAGGATTTGGTGCACAACTGGAAGGAATCTGCAAGAACTTACTCGCCTTCATTTCCCATCCATCTACGCTCCAAAGACATAGCTAGAATACAAAAGTGAGAAAGTAACTATACGTTATTTTGAGATATATTTATTTCCATAAATATCATAATGCAGAAAGAAAATTTGAATTCCAGTGTCTTCACTTTCGTAAACAAATAATATCGCTTGTCCAAGTACAGACAACAAAACACAAATTTATTCATTTTGACAGCAAAAGTTAGATTACACAAGTTTGATGCTTATTCTCTCAAGTTATAAAAGCTAATTAAATTTTTTAAAAGTTTACTATGTACCCTAAATTCCCTTACTTGATAGAGAATTGTGGAAGAATATTTCACTCATCCATTACAGTAGTAAAAAATATGGACCTCATTTTTTTCCCCTCTTCAAGACACATGTAGAGACATTTTTTCCTCTTTTTTACGTCATTGAACGTACCTGAGCATCAGCTCCAGATGACACGAGAACATTTAAAACATTGGAAAATGCAAGGCCAGTTACTCTCTTCTGGTGACCTTTGAGTTTGATTTTTACCTTTAAAACACAAAAATAAATAACAAAAAGCATCTGAGCATTAAATCATTGCAAAAATAACACGCCAGCTTTTGTTCGTGTAAGAACCTCATCAACGCGGACATTGTAAATTTGTATGGAAGAATCTTCCATGCCAATAGCAATGACATTATTGTCCTGAGGATGGAAGGCAAGAAATGTCGCCGCCGGTGGAGGGGGCATAAATGTTGTCATTGTCTGTGAAGGGAAAACAATATAAGAATCTATATGCATGCTTAGTACATTGTAATAGACTGCAATAGACAGTTTAATAAACGAAATTTTAGTTTTTCTTTTCTTTTTTAATATTGTCCAGTGCTATCTAATCCACCTCATGAAATATGCCAGATATATAAAGAAGGGCAAACACAAACCAGAAAACCAATGATGAAAAAATATCTATTACAATCAAAATAGAGTAATTACCTTGAATGTCATCATATTAAATAGGGAAATTTTTCCTCCTGATGCTGACATAACGTAAGAGTCATTCTTTGAGAGTGCAAAGCATGGAACAGCTTCCTCAAGGTTCGTCTCAGATATGTCATTGGTCATTAATATTCCACTAGATGGTTGCCATAGTTGAGGGGACACAGCAGTGGTTGCCTACATAAGCAAAGAAATAATTAGACTTGTTTGGCAAAAAATAAAGTTCACTTGGAAGTAAATAAGTTAGTTTTAGTATAAACAATATTTATGGGTCGTATATGTAAATGAGTTACTTATTTTGACAGTGGATAAGATTTGCTTTAAAAAACAATTCAACTTTTTTAGAAGTAATAAAAAAAATTGAGTATCCAAACACTCTTTGAAACAAAAGTAACATTTTTTCCATTTCCTAAGATTATCAAATCATGAAGGAAAGTTTAAGGAGAAATCCTTTGAAATTAAGATGTCAAGGATAAGTTACAAACCTTTCCAGTAACATTTCTCTCATTCTTTTGCCATTTCCAGAGTTTGTGGACAGCATTATATGCTAAAGCTAATATGGCACCTCCAGAATTTGTATAAATCAACCTCATAATCTAAAATGAAAACAGATCCATGACGGTGAGCAAGTGCACATTAATATGGAGTAAACCTCAAAATTTCCTGACATAACTGCAAACATATACACAAGCGTCTTCAGACAGAAGAGCATCTACAGACAAACTAGTATTCATAAGTACCAACCTTTGTCATAATTATAGCATACAATCAATATGATTTTATATCCAAAGCAAAAAAAAACACTCGGTTTAATTCATAAAGTAAAAACAGGGGAAGAAATCCACTTATAAAGTCAAATACAGTAGGAAGTAATTAGTGTCAGCTATTGGATAACCACATATAACTTCTCTTTTTTGAAGAATAAGGAACGAACCTGATGCAGGATGCGATTGAACAATGGTAGGAGAAGGGGAAAGGGGGGAGAAATGAGAGAAGAAAAGGGAGAGGGGAAGATAGAAATTGGGGGAGAAATTCAATTTATTTCATAATCAAAAGTTGTCTCAATTACATTGCATAATATCCCTTTTATAGGGTTTCTAAGGGAATACTATAAAATCAACCCTGATTACATTTCCTAAAATGAACTTTAAAACCGGAAATTAATGTATTAATATCAATTATAACATTCCATCAGAGCCAAAACAACGCATCCCCCGTCCATGGCAAACTGGATTCGGCCCAATTTGGTACCAACATTCAACTTAAAGTACCTCTTAAAGAGGGTCTGAAGTTCAAATTGCTGGGGACATGAAAGATTACAACGTTGGGGTCCAACTCCTAGTGGACAGTACATAAAAGGTGAGATTCAGGAGGAAGCCGACATCGACCATGAAGGGGCCTGGTGATGCAGAATTAGGATGGTGGGGAAGAGGGAACACAGAGAAACAGGGAAGAAGGAGGAGAAATAGGGCAGAAGAGGGAGAAGAGACAGCAGCAGCCAAACCAATAATTCTCAATCAATTCATCGTCCAAAATTACAAACCAAGATAGGTTTAAATAATAAAAACCTAGAAATATAGGGCCAAGCCCATTACTTAAGTCCTAACTAAAATACGTAAACTTAAATAAAAGTCCAACTGAAACAATAATAAAAGTCCAACTAAAATACTGAAACAATAATAAAAGTCCAACTATAATGATGTTCTCATCAACTCTCCCAGGGTGGGAGAAAACTCGACCCTGTCGAGTGGATATATCACCGTAGACTCTCTTCAATCTCCCAACCATAAGTTGAGTGGTTGGGCAAGTTTCTTTCGGCGTCTGTAGAAATGCGTCAGTGGCGGTCTGAATCTGGTGTCCTCATCAACTCCCCTCGGGTGGACGGGAGGCGATCTGGGCCAAGGAAGATCCTGCTGACTCCGATAAAGCTCTAGCAAATCAGGATCCAAATGCTGTAGTGTCTCCCTGGAGATCCATGCACAATCAGAATCTGGTCGACCAACCCAACGAACAAGGATGCGCTGAACCTCTCCATCATTAGTAAACACAGTTTCTTCATCTAAAATAGCATCAATTTTATCTGTGTGTGCTGTGAGAGGTGGTAGTGGGTTAGAGGGGGCCAAAGAATTAGAATCAAGGTCCACAAAATGAGGTAACAGGGGATCATCTGAGGGAATGAAATGGCCTTTATAAGTTACAAGGTCTTCAACATTGAAAGTATGGTGGTAACCAATGTGGGATGGAATGTCGACAATATAAGCATTTGGACCAACTTGCTTTAAAATTTTAAAATGACCAGCACTACGAGCTTGCAATTTGGAGGTGGGTCCATGTAGACGCCGCTCTGGCCTAATGCGAACCATAACGTAATCCCCAACATTAAACTCAGTATGTCGTTTATGTAAATCAGCTTGTAGTTTATAATTTGCATTACTAGCTTCAAGTTGTTTATTGATCTCAATGTGCAAATCACGAAAGTGTTGTGCAAATGCTTCGGCTAATGTTGACACTCTAACCTGTGGGGACATAGGGATGAGATCTAATGGTTTCCTAGGCTTGTATCCGTGAACGGCTTCAAATGGACTCATACCTAATGAACGATTTACGGAGCTATTATACGCGATTTGAGCGACAGGAAGGATTAAATCCTAATTTCGAAGGTTCTCCCGGACCGAACAACGTAATAAGTTACCAAGACTCCGATTAACAACTTCGGTTTGACCGTCAGTTTGAGGGTGGTAGGCTGTGGAAAATTTTAATTTGGTACCCATCTTATGCTACAAAGTCCTCCAAAAATGGCTAGTGAAGCGAACATCCCTATCGGACACGATGGTCTTGGGAAGCCCATACAATTTGACAATCTCATTAAAGAATAACATGGCAACCTTGGACGCATCCGATGTGCTACAGGGGATAAAGTGAGCCATTTTCGAGAAACGATCGACAACCACGAAAATAGAATCATGCTTCTTTGGGGTGCGTGGCAGTCCTAGCACAAAATCCATACTAATGTCTTACCAAGGACAATTGGGGACGGGGAGAGGAGTATATAGGCCTGTGTTCTACTTCTTCTGTTTGGCCAATTGACAAGTGTTACATGTACTAACAATTTTAGCCACATCTCTCTTTAAACTAGGCCAATAGAATTGGCGTTCAACCTCCTCAATGGTCTTATCACGCCCAAAGTGACCGGCTAACCCTCCCGTGTGAACTTCCCACACTATAAAATCTCGCACTGAAGATCGAGGGATGCACAATTTATTGGCTCGAAAGAGATAACCATTCTCAAGTCGAAAGCCATCTGTGCTGTTTGATTGTCCTCCTTGCAAATCGAGAAAGATATCCTTAAAATCTGGGCATGCCTCGTAATCCTCCTTAGGCCTTTCAAAACCAATGACTTTGACACTCATGATCGACAAAAGGGAGACACGACGACTTAACGCGTCAGCTGCTTGGTTCTCCACGCCCTTCTTGTGTTTTAAAACAAATGAATAGGCCTGTAAATATTCAATCCAACGTCCATGCCTAGAACTTAATCTCTTCTGAGAGTTGAGGTAACGGAGGGTTTCGTGGTCCGAATAAAGGACAAATTCCTGGGGCAACAAGTAGTGGCGCCAATAGCGCAAAGCCTGGACCACCGCATACAGCTCCTTATCATACGTTGAATATCGTCGTTTGGCCTCATTTAACTTTTCACTGAAATAGGCGACAGGGTGACGATCCTGACTTAAGACTCCGCCTATACCTACCCCAGAAGCGTCACATTCAACTTCAAAGACTTTGAAAAAATCGGAAAGACGCATGACAGGAGCTTCTGTCATTCGCTCCTTGACTAACTTAAAGGGCTTCGCCACCCCTCGTGTCCAATGAAACTCCCCTTTCTTCATGCACTCCGTAATAGGTGCCATAATAGTGCTAAACCCTTTAATAAAACGGCGGTAAAACGTAGCTAAGCCGTGAAAGCTCCTGACATCATGAATGGCCTTAGGCTCAGGCCAGTCAATTATCGCCTGAATTTTAGTAGGGTCAGCAAACACCCCTGTCGACAAGACAATGAACCCCAGAAAAACTACGCTATCCGTGAAAAAGGAACATTTCTTGACATTAGCATACAGGTTAGTCTCACGAAGGGTAGAGCAAACTCGTTTGAAGTGGTCACGGTGTTGCTCCTTAGTTTTACTATAGATGAGGATATCATCAAAGTAGACAACGAGAAATTTACCCATGAACGGTCGAAGAGTTTGTGTCATTACCCGCATGAAGGTACTCGGCGCATTACTTAGCCCAAAAGGCATGACCAGCCATTCATAAAGGCCATCTTTCGTCTTAAACGCGGTCTTCCACTCATCCCCTGGGCAAATTCTAATTTGATGGTACCCACTCTTTAGATCGATCTTTGAAAAGATTGTCGAGCCAACCATCATATCCAGCATATCATCAAGCCTGGGAATGGGAAAACGATACTTCACCGTGATCCTATTGATAGCACGACTATCCACACACATTCTTCAAGATCCATCCTTTTTGGGCGTCAATAGGGCGGGGACAGCACATGGGCTTAAACTCTCACGAATGAATCCTTTGTTGAGAAGGTCATCCACTTGCCTTTGGAGCTCAGCGTGCTCGGTAGGATTCATCCTATAATGTGACAAATTTGGAAGGGATGCGCCGGGGACGAAATCTATGGCGTGCTGAATATCTCTTAGCGAAGGTAGATGATCAGGTAGGTCCTCCGCAAAGACATCTCGAAACTCCTGAAGGATCGATTGGACTTCCGCAGTATCCTCACTTGTGGAGTTAGATGAAACCTCCATGACTACTAAGGCGAACACAATTGAGTCACCAACAATTGTACGCTCAAACTCTGTAGGACTAATGATATGCAACCCCTTTTGTTCCACACTTTTCTTCGCTTCTAGTGAGCCAGCCGGCTTTGGGGGTAGTGGGTTAAGGTAAATTTTCTTTCCATTAAACACGAAGGAGCAGGAATTGGATCGACCATATATGGTTACATCTAGGTCAAATAGCCAAGGTCGTCCTAAGATGATGTGCCCGACGTCCATCGAAATAACGTCACACCATATATGGTCCTTATACTCCAGGAACTAGATAGGGACTAAACAACACTCCTTAACAGCTATAGAGGAGGTGTCAACCCAAGAGACACTATAAGGTTGGGGGTGAGGAACTGGCTTCAACCCTAGACGGGATATAGTAGCCTTCGAAACCGCATTAATACAGCTGCCACTATCCACGATAACTTTACAGCCCTTGTTATTAATCTTGATGTAGGTGTGGAAGATGGCATGACGGTGCCAATCGTCGGCATCCTTAGGCTGGGTGAGGGTGCAACGGACGACACCGACTCTGGGTGTATGTGGGATAATGGGACTAGCCTGAATACAACTTAAGAAGGTATCCTCACTGTCCTCCAAGTCTTCAAACTCTTCTAACTTAGGCTCATAAACCTGATCCTCTAGTGGTTCGACGACTATATCCTCACGTTCGTCCAGAACTAGGGCTCGGCTAGGGCACTTAGAAGCAATGTGACCAAAACCCTTACAGTTGAAGCATTGCAAACGGGAGGATGTCCTTGAAACCTCAGAACCTCTACCTTTGCTATCCATTGCAGGGGTGGTATTAGAGGGAGGAGGACCTAAAATAGACTTAGGGGATGGCGTGGATGCAGATGAGGTTGTAGTGCGGGAGTCACTACGATTTCTATATGGTGTCCTAGTCACTAATTCATAATCCCGAACGAAAGAGTAGGCGTGGTCGAGAGTGGTGACACCCCTAAGGACAAGCTCGCGCCTAAGTTCGTCTCTTAAACCTTGCCTAAACCTACTCAAAGTCATAACTTCATCCTCAACAACCTAACATTTCATTCGAAACTCATCAAATTGAGCAACATATTCGGTCACAGGTCGATTGCCTTGTGTAAGTGCGTTCCATTGATCCAGCAAGTTACCCCTATAAAATTGGGATAAATATTTTTCTTGAAGGCGGTGCTTCATTTCATCCCAACTCCCAACAGGGGGAGCATGACGCCTTTCAAGGAGGTCCTCAACACTCTCCCAAAAGAGCTGAGCAGTGCCAGTTAACTTCAAACTGGCAAATTGTACCCTCCGATCTACCGGGACCCCATACCATGCAAAGAAGCGATCCATATCTCTAACCCATTGATTGAATGCACTAGGATCTAGACAATCGTCAAACGTAGGGGCATCCAACTTAATGTTTCGAAAGAGGCGCTCCTTGTGGCGAGGGGGAGATTGTGTACCATGACGGTAATATCCCCGCTCTCGTTCCCGAGCCTGATTCCCTTCCCTACGACCATGTCGGGCGTGGTGTCGACTACCTTGTGGGCGACGATGAGGCCTATTAATGGAAGTCTCAGAGTTCTCAGCCTCGGTCGAATATGGAATTGGGTCAAGAGTATTCAACCTAGCAGTTAGGGCTTTATTCTCTTCATGAGTAGCGGCTACCTCATTTTGGACAGCTGTTAGTTGATTTTGTAATTGTGCAAGTTGTCTGGTGAGGGCCTCAATTTGGGCGGGGTCCATGGTAAGGTTACTAGAGCTAGAGGCAGTAACGCGACCACTATGCAATTGCATACACAGTAACACGACTACGTAAAGTGCACTACTGAGATCAATAATCAACAATCAACTAGTGCCAACCGAAGAATTAGTTATTGAAATTATTATTATTATTATTTATTTTTCTTTTTTCTTTTCTTTTTTTTGTTATTTTGTCAATTTAAAGTTTGGGGTTACTTATGGCTCGATTGCAAGCTAATACTACTAATGCTAATAAAATAGAAAAGCAAATGTCCAAATACTAGGTCTAGTCACGTGGGGTAAACGATTGAGTAATGAAATTTAGTTCGTGAAATATAATCGAATAGGTTTAAGGCAGTATTATCAAAGGGCTAGTACACATCAATGGAATTTAGTTCGTGAAATACAATCAAATAGGTTGAAGGCAATATTATCAAATGGCCAGCACACAACGAATTAATTGATGCAATTCTAAAATAAAGAAATAGCGTCAACTAAAACTAAATAGGATCAGGAACCCCCTAAGTACTGTTGGTTTGAGTCGTCCCAGCGTCTAATGTCTCCACGTTCTGAACTATTAAGCCCTGAGATGCCAAGATAGAAAATTCCGTGCTCGTCGAGGTGCGGTACTGAACAGTCAACTAAAATGAACCCATTTAACATAACACATGGCCCAACATTAACACAACCTATAGGCAGAGCCCAAAACACACTACCCAATTCGAAATCGTTGATTCCTCGCTGCTATTCCACTCCTGCTTCAACGCCACAGTCACCAGACAATTGAGCTGCGGTGATGTCGGCGGTTGGGGTTCTTTCTTCTTGAATCGTGGCTGCTGCAAGTAGAGCAACCACAACTGCAGAGATGCAAGGAATTTCTTCTGCAAGCTGGAAAATTGCACGAACTACAGTAAAAACTTTAAGATCCTTCAACTGAATCGGGGTAGAAGCAACTAGTGCAGAAGTTCGAATTTGCAGGTTTGTGAATCTCGAACAGGCGATGGTTCCGTTTTTTTGGTTGCTGTGATTTCGGTGGGTTATAAGGAATTTGTGTAAGCTGCAGGGTGGTAGTTGGAGGGCGACGGTGGACGGAAAAAATTCTGGTCAGACTTCTCTGCTCTTTAAGTTCTGCATGACGGGCTTTCTTTTGGTTGGGGTTTGTATTGGTTGCGGCTCGCGAGTGTGAAAGTCGCGATCTTGAGGGTTGTGTATTGGCAGTCGTGAGGGAAACTGGTCGTCCTTGTCTGCAGTGGGTTGTGTTGTGTGTATATAAGTGTATATGAAATAGGAGAAATTGGCGGTTTCAAAGGGGGGATAATTGACTGGGGATTAACTGAACGGATTTCAGCCGTGGGGTAATTGGTTGTGGGATTCTGTTACTGTTGGATTTTGGCTCTGATACCAAATTGATGCAGAATTAGGATGGTGGGAAAGAGGGAACACAGAGAAACGGGGAAGAAGGAGGAGAAATAGGGCAGAAGAGGGAGGAGACGGCAGCAGCCTAACCAATAATTCTCAATCAATTCATAGTCCAAAATTACAAACCAAGATAGGTTTAAATAATAAAAACCTAGAAATATAGGGCCAAGCCCATTACTTAAGTCCTAACTAAAATACGTAAACTTAAATAAAAGTCCAACTGAAACAATAATAAATATCCAACTAAAATACTGAAACAATAATAAAAGTCCAACTATAACGATATCCTCATCACCTGGGACCTAATTTGGTGGGCCATGGTCACGAAATATAGAGTTACACAAGATTTTATAACTTCATACAACAAATTTTCAATTTCCTGTAAATAATAAATATTTTATATCATATCTAGATCATAGGGCCTTGTAAAGAGCTCTTGGCAATAAACAATAGGCCTCCACTCACTAGCGGAGCTAGCATGAGGGCAATGGGGTCAACTACCATTATCGGGTTATTTGAAAAATTACTATCATAGAAATTTTTCTTTCTATTAACAGAATTTGCTATGTTGTGGTTTGACAAAGAAGCACGTAATAGTTTGACAAATGACATGAATCTCTATGTATTCAAACAAATTAATGATGAAATCTAGTGAACTTCATGTTATGTCTTAAATTGTGATCTGAAAATAAATTTTCTGTAAATTAATGGTTTAGACTTTGCTAATGAAGTATTTTGACACTTCCAATAATGTTACTATTGGCATCTAAAGGATTAATCATCCAAATTGTTAATCATTGTAGGCAAAAAAACCTAGAACATGGTAGACAAATTGAACAGTGTGGATAAGGTTTTAACTGTATTAGACAGTTGAAATAAGATTTTTAACTTTTTGTCTCACCATTCCTATTCAATTACATTTTTTTTTTATCGTGAGTGTCCGAGTCAGTTTACGCGCACCTCGACTAATCCCATGGAGCTTGAAATTTACAGTTGAGTACTCACTCAGTGGCCTTAAGGGATTCATACTGGTGATTATTGAGGAGCAAACCCAAGACCTGACCACTGAGTTACCCTCAAGTTTCATTCCTATTCAATTACATATTTCAAACATGCCATTAATGTATTATTTCACTAGTTGTCCATTTAAGTAGTTAATTCCTGAATGCATGCACTTGTTAAAGACATATCAAAACATCATCAAGGTATTCTCCGTGAGACTTTTCTCGGACTCTCTTAGAATATTTCCTTAGTTGTTTGATTAGAATGTTTTATTTTCTAGTTAATTGTAATCATATAAATGAGGTCTTTCCGTTTTAATTATTAGACACAACAGTTACAAGTTCTATTTCATGCCTCAACTACATTCACTTTATATTATCTAACATCACCTATTTGGAGTATGAAAAATCATAGGAACCAACATTAATGTATCCAAAAAAAAAAAAACCATTGAAATACAATCCTAGCTCGGACCCTGCTTCCACAATTTAGCTATCCATGTTAATTTCAAAGTTTCTAGGAAAAATTTCATATTGATCCAGCTAATGAGAGTAAAATATCAGGACAACATCCGAGATCAGGGAAAATCACTTTGACTACAGTAAACCTGCCTCCAAAATTTTAGTTCTTGGTTTCCATTTGCATGAACTTCTCAATCCAGTGGTGGATTAAAAAGGATGTGGGAATCTCCTGGCCAATCAGAAAACTGTCCACCATGTGAGGTGTCAACAGTAGTTTCAATTTATTTGAAGAAATACATGTAGATGAAATTACAATTGGTATAATATAATGTGCCCAAATTATGAGGGTGGCCATAAAATTTATGAATAACTTTAAAGATTCATCAACACAATAAATTCTCCAGATCATATTCCAAAATACCAGGTGCCTATACAAATATAAACTGCTGGAAAAGGCTCATCTCAGCCTCCCAAGGTTATCCGATGATGATCACTTTTTTTCTAAATATTCCAATATGTCCAGATTTATACTACTAATTCAGATAATAATTTCCACGAATCTCAAAGTTACAGAGACTGACCACTCCCAAAAGAACATGGTAAATCTTCTCTCCACCAGATAAATGACTTGAGAACACAATATAAATCCCTAGATCATCTAAATTAACAAGGAGAAGACGGAAGGACGAACTGTAAATGAACAGAGACTTGCCATTGTGGACAAGCACATATATAAGAAAAATGGTAACATGGTGAGATTGAGCCAGGCTGGTTTTTTGGAAAATTCATACCCTCACTGACAGTAAACTATCAGGAAGCCTCAGGGAACGAAGCTGAGATGGTTCGTCAATTTCAGTCAGCTTCCAAATTCTAGATTTTTCCAGCTCATCAGAAATTCTGGGTTTTACATCTGGTAAACTTCTATCACCATTCTGCAAAAACTCATTAAGTTAGTGGTCAACAAAACAACTGTTGAGAATATGAGCAGTAAAAAATTCATTATGCATAACTGCGTGAAACAATTATCTACAGTAACTCAGCTTTTCTCATAAAACTGAATTAGCTATCAGTGCTCACCATAGCAATCATATCTCTGCTTGTCCCAGCAGCTGAACTAGAAGCACCAAATGCATTGATCATAGGCTCCTGCTTAACCAATAATGAGCATAATGAACATTCTAATCTCAAAATCTGCATAACATACCTAGATTACTATACCTTTGCAACAGATCCAGATGCACGATTTTCAATAGAGCGCATCAGCTGAACACCTTCAGCATTTGCAATTATTTTAACACCATTGTCACTAGTTGATACAGCCAATAGCAACCCTTCCCTATTAAACCTAATGCAAGGCGAAGCCTGAAAAATTATAACAAAATGAGAATTTAATCAGATCCTCTCTCCCATAAATAGTCAGTTAATCTAAATGAGATCCAACTTTGCAGTTACCGGTAAACCACCCTCAGCATCAGTAACGGTCAAGAGGTTTTCATTGTCCATATCCCAATATTTTATTACAAAATCATCACCAGCAACCAAGAACCGATTCTTTGTTGTATCGAACTGAACCACTCCTACAGAACGTTTCCCAAGACCAAGGTATGTCCGCTTGACTGCCCCTTCACTCTCATTCCACTCCACAATGTGTGATTCGCCATCTTTACTAGTACCACAAGAAAATAGCCTGCCATTTATACAAGAAATTGAGAAATCAAAAATATACATAAAGCCAATTGCACAATTGAGTAAACCTATGCCACAATGAGAAATGGCGAAGACTATATTTTTACCTAGTCCCATCAGCACTGTAGGCCATGGTAGTACAAGAGTGACCTGGAGCATCGTAATCAACCCTTGACCCCATATTATCATATAACCATGCCTTAATCTTCCCATCAATAGCAGTTGAAAAGATGAACTGCCAAAAAAAAAAAAAAAAAAAAATCAGTTGGAAGAAAAAGTTTTGGGGAAAGCATAATAAAGGGATGAGATAGATCCCTTTAGAAAATTCACGATCTGATGGAGCACAATTTATGTTTTTTCTTTTCCCCTTCCAATTTTTGTTTCCATTTGAAATCATTCTACAGTTTAAATATTGTAATGATTGAATCTCATCAAATATCTCTGCTCCAATGCAATTGAATAAGAATGACATTTGAAGAAGGGGAATGGGGCGAGAAGAAAAGAGAGAGAGGAGAATAGAAAAAGAACTAGAGAGAGAATTCTGAATGTATTCAATAATCAAGTCTAACTATTACAATGAATAAGCCCCTTCGTACTGGGTTTAAGCTAATCTACTTTAAAAAGGAAACCACTAATAAAATATTAGAAATCAATCAAATAAAACCCAATTACTTTTCCTAAAATATCAAAATTGGAAAGTTTTCTATGTAATATATCTTTCTCCATCATAGCCATTTATTAAGTCACCATCCAGGTTGGCAGAAAGAGAGGTGTGCAAAAGTAAACCCACTGCATGTAAACAATTAGCTTTAACCAGAGTAAAAAGAGAAATAACAATTCACAACCCACCCCACCCAAAAAAAGTGAATACAAAACAAAACATAGTTTTGACAGATTTTACACTTGAAATATGGTCAGACATAGCCCACAAAATGTAAATCCATTCTGCCATCATCTTACCTGAATGTTTTCCTTATGATGTGGGCATACAGAATAAACAGGTGCTTCGTGACCCTCAAAAGTGTACTGTTTAGCACCAGTAGCTGCATCCCACACCTGTACCGATAAATGTTGTACGGTGCTGTGCATGCATCAAATTCTCATCGTAATATGATTTATTGAAAAATACAAACCTTAATTGCCTTATCCTCTCCACAAGTTATGATGCACAACTGCTTGTTAGGATTAGAGAAAGCAAGATCACTGACATTACCAACATGGGCATCAATCTGAAACAATTAGTCAGGCAAATTGAATTGTCATACAAAAACAGATTCCTGAACATGGGCATCTCCATTCATATTTACAGGAAGGACAGAGAGTTTAAAACTCAAAACAAACTATCATAAAACAAAAACAGATTCCTGAACTTCAACTACAAACCTCAAGGTGATTCCTTAAATCATCACCGCCATGATAAGCATAAATGTGAACAATGTGCTTCGAATATGCCACACCTAAATCAGAGTAACAACAATTATAACTGATAACAAGGGTCATATGCCATCAGAGCCTTTCAATCGACTCGTCATCTTTCACAAATGAAACCATTACAATTAAAGCTCTAGTACATAGAATGTTAATGTCAACAAAATAGAGAAATAATTTATGCTCCCCGATAAGGGCCTAGGATTTATGAATGAAACATGGATTTAGAATATCATTGCATCTCAGAACTCTGGTTGGATGGTGATGTAACTTGTTATGATAAAAGAATATCCATTTTGACCAAATCCTAAACTACAACTCGTGATCAAAAGCTTTCAATTTACTTAAAAGTTAATCTAATTGAGGAAAAATCTAAATTACTATCACAATCCGCCTTTTCCCTTTAAAAAGGATAAGAAGGGAAAATAGCATTGACTGGTATGACCTATTTTTCTTGAATCCAAGATTTTCAGATTCTGAAATTATAATCCAAAGTTCAAATCCAGTTCCCCAAACTAATCCCCCAATAAAATATTCTTATCCATTATACAAGTGTCTTTCCATCAAGGAAGGGTTATCTTTGTCTGCTGTACCGATGAAAAAGTAATTAATGCAGAGATTTGACATAATGCTACTGCGACCGATTATAAGTCCGTGTGGTTTAGGTTTTTTTATGTTCTCAGTTCTTTGAAGGCTGGGGATGAGATACGAGGTATAAGATGAATCAGCATAAAAAACCTAACAGTACATACCAAAATGGGTTCCATCAGGGCTCCAAGTTACACGGTTAACTGATGCAGTATATTCATTAGCCAAAGAAGCCTACATGTAAAAGGCAGAAAATTGATCTCATCAATTGTCAAAGCCGCACGAAGAGAAGGCAACAAAAGGCTCTATGAACAACACCTGCAGAATCATTGTGCATCCTCCAAGATCCCGAACCTTAAAATTTCTACAAGCAAGCCTCTCTCTACTAGCTACTTCCCATATAGCAACGTCGCCAATATTGGTACCCACTGAAATTATACAAAGGCGCATAAATAATTTTATATGCACGATGTGCATATGTATATGCTTCTATATATGGAATATCATCTATCAGTATGAATAATAGATCTAAACGCACACGGATGGATATACTTTTCACACTCACACCAAAATCCGTTTTTTTTTTTTTGCGGACACCATAAATAAAATAGACATAGCAACAAGTAACAGAATAAATCTTCAGCCTTCTTCCAATTGGTCAGAGTGTGAACTAAAAGAGCAACAATTCTATGGACAGTAGGAGCAAACCAAGAAGCAGAGTTTGGCATGCTGGGTGGAAATCCATGCTCTTCACAGAAGAACCCTGATTCAGATGTGCCAAAACAATCTTGGGTAAGTCCTCCGTGGAATATGTGGAACGAGAATGACTTTGTCCAGGATATGCGACAGGGAATATGTTCACAGCGAGATTGTTAACCTGTACATGAATTGCCCATATAGCAAGGAATTAAAATATAGGGGCCCACAAAATAGAATGAATCAGAAATCTAAAACTGAATGGAATGGTAAGTATTTAAGAGTTAAAATTGAACAACCAGGGCAATCCCAAAAAAATACACCAGCAATTTATAAATTAACTCTAGAGGAACCCAATTACAACAATATACAGCAAGTTATTATAGACGTCCAAAGAAGTGGCAAGACCCAAAAAAGGAACAGGTTGACTGCATATGTTATACCTCCTCTGATGCTCCAAAAGGTCTTGATCTCTTCAGCACGTGTTCAGAATCAGCAATTTGATAGTCCAGTGCTGGATTATTTGTAGGAGGAGTCCTAGGACGCTTTTGCATAGATGCTATATGCCATATATAAGATACAGAAGGAACAAAGAGAATTATCTAACAAAAAATTTGGTTAAAATGAAAGAGAAGATGTATTTTAGTGGTTACAATAGATAAGTAAAATCTGTCTTACATTAAGCAATTTCACCGTAACTCCATAATAATCCAACCAAATTTCTTTTGCAACTCGTAGGGCTTGCTTGGGAGAAATTACAATGGTTTGACAATAAAGAGGAGTAATGATTCCCACAAAATGTGTTGATAATAAGTGAGTAGTAGTTGTGAAACGTGTAGTTAAAATTAATGTTTGACTTTGACTTCAAAATAATGATGTACATAATAATTGAACATCAAAATAATGATGTAGAGAACATCAATAGTCATGTAGAGGATTAAATATATTACCAGCATTACTGGGAGGAATTAAGCCCATAGGCCCAACAGAAACAGCTTGGTGAGGCACAGAGGATGGATTGGCCATCCAGCCTCCAAGTGATGCTGTCATAGGGGCTGGGGCGTGTTGAAATGGCTGTTTATAGGAAGAAAAATATTCCGACAATCAATAGATGTTATCCACTGAAAAAAAAACAAAAAAACAGAGAAATGTATCCACACAAACTTACACCAGGACCACCAATAGGTAGGAATCCCCCAGCTTTAGGCATGGAACCCATCAGTGGATTAGTGACCGGGGATGGTGCTCGGGCACCATTCGGTTGTCCGCAAGTATGGTCAACAAATAGGGTTTTTATATCGGGATTAGGCTTTGGATTCTTACAGAGCTGGTGCTGCCAATTCAAACTGCAACTCGACAAACAGGTAATAATTTCATTCACATATTAACCAAATCATGGAAGACCATTATTACTTGTCTTTTGCTGTTCAAATTACCTTTGGTTTATTAGCGTCCGCAGTCTTGAGTTCTTTAAGTTGGGGAACTGAAGTTTATCACGAAAGAGCGGATTTGCCTCTATCAGCTTTTTTAGCTCAACAAGCATTGTACCCCTAGCTGACTTGGTATCACCATATTTAGAAAGCTGATCATTCTCCCTGGTTTAAGAAATTTTCCAGCAAAATGTGAGTGAGATTAGCAAGTATAGAGAGAAAAAGTACCAAAAACCAGTGAAAGTTCACAAATTAGAGCCAGATGGAGAGAAAAACCTTTGCCACTAGGTCATGAATTTTTTGCGATTATTTCCTTTCACCTTAAACATAAGCCTGGTGTAATCTCATTTTGTCTTTTAAAGAAAGTATAGAAGCCCAAATCCTCTATTACCAACAAGTAGAAAACATGAAATTTCGGAGAAGTGAAGTTACACATGGAAATTATCCTCAATAAATAGGGTCTTAAAAGTTTTGAATGAGCTTGTGTGATTAAATAAACAGCTTATAGCAACATTTGAAAATTGTATTTCATAATTCTATCTGTCTTTATCTTCACTTTAATGTTCATTTAGTGAGAAAAAATTGACACACTTTTCTTGTTCCAGTGTTCTCCAAAAACTTAATTACCGTGTAAAACTAGGAGAACAAAAAATCAAATGCAGTTATTTTAAAATCATACACAGAAAAGTGAAGTAAATGTCAACAAGCAAAATGCTTAGATGATGTGGTTACTCAAGCAGCCTAATGTTCCTCCAATTAATTCCGTAATTTATAACCCATAAATGATTCCACCTCCCATAAATATCTCTGGACCAAACTGGTTCTCCTAAATTTGCCACTGCATCCCACGAAAATGCCGTTACTATACGATTTATGCTCCATGTTGAGAGTAAAATTAACATTGTGCAACCTAAATATAAATCCAGACTACAAATTTTTCTCTGATTGTAATAATTTTTAAGGAAATTATCTCGCTATGTGCTCAATTAAAAAATAATTAGAACTTAATCTATTACAATGCAAACTTCAATGACAACTGCAATCATACTTTGGATCAATGCACATTACCTAAAATTATGCAAGGTTAGGAGCATAGTTATTTCCTTAAAGAGGTCTTCATTAAAACCCGAAAACACTTTCAAATCCTTTGTAAGTATCTCCACAGCATTCGCATTATCACGCCTACAATTGACCGAGAAGAATTAATATAGACCCAAAATTACAAAAAAGTACAACCGTGGAGCACTATCCATCATCATTATGAGCCTGTTTGGACCCGATTTTTTCACAAAAAAATTGATTTTTTTGACCGTTATTTCATTATTCCAGCCGTCATATTTGACTTCTTCTCTCACGGATAGACCCCACTTTTCTCCTAACGGTCAAAAAATCAATTCTCAAAATCACTCCCAAACATGCTCTATTATTTTCTTAAATTATAGAAATGAATGAGATTAGAGCTTTACTTGTCGAGAGCTTCAAGATACTTCTGTTTTCGGATCTCGAAGAAAATTTTCATGGAGTAACGGTTATCATCAACCTTTGTAAACCCCGATAAATACTTTTCCACATCGTCCCATTCACCATTGGTCACAGCATCCTCAAAGTACCTCATGTTGAAGAAAAACCCCGATTCCTTTTCCAACCTCCATTCATTTTCCAAATCCCAAAACAATCAACAACAAAATTACTTAAAAAATCCAAAACCCATGAAAAATTATAAGGGAAAACAAAAATGGCTTACTTGTGAACTGTTTCTTTGAATTTCTCTTCGTCCAAAAATTGAAGAATTAAGAAAGCCAACTCTCTGCTTAAAGAAGACATCTTTTATAGACAAAGTTCTCCAAATCCCTCAGATCCAGTAAAATCCCACTTCAAAATCGAAGAAAAAAACACATCAAATTCATAAGCCCATTACAAATCACGCCCAAAAGGCTAAACCCAACAAGACAACACAATTAACCACCAGTCGTCAATATAAATACAGACAAACATACATAAATATCATTTATACCTAGAAATTTGGTGATGGAAAGGTAAGTACAGATCGGAGAAGTTTTTAAGTTTTAGGGGAATTGCTTTCCCTACAGGTACCCTCTCTCTCCCACCTCCCTTTATATATAAGTCGTTAGAGTGTGAAGAGAGATACGGTCATACGGAGAACAGTGTTTAAGAGAGAAAAGAGGTCGCGCGTGAGTTTCAAAGCAGGGAAATAAGCGTAGGAAATACAATGGTTATGTTTGACGCTCTTCCAAGAGCGTGTAAAAACTATGTACGTCAAAGATGCTTTTGGACCTCACATGTCCAGGTTTACACGTCTCCATTTCCTACGTGGGATTCAGATGCCGTGCCACGATTGGGTCGCGAGTCGGTCTTCGCATTCTATTAGTTTATCAATATTTAAAAAGGAGAATGATAGTCCCAATGGCCTATCGATAAGCCATAGGACTTATATACGTACCGGTGATACGCATGAATAGCTATCATTTCCAAAATACATATTAATTTTTAGTCGTTATCTTTTTCCAAGAAAGTGATGTCACCCACTACTTTATAGGATGATAGAAGGTATCTGGTACTCCCAACCAGGACCATTGCTGATGGACTCTTACGACCTTTATCCTTGCGACTTTTGAGCAAGCCACTTGCCTTTGAATTATTCCCCTTGTACACTGTACAGGGATAACCTACGGTAGTTGCACAGGTGCTCAGGGGTGAACGTAGACTTTTTGAATTAGGGGATAGAATCAAATATTATGCCCCTGTTTGGTACGCATTTTTGGAGCCAAAAATGCATTTTTTCCGTCACATCAGCACACAATTTTTGACTTCTACACTCTCATGGGGGACCCTCGATTTGATGTTTAAAATGCATTTTCATCAACAAAAATGTGCACCAAACGGACCCTATATAGATCAAATACTTTGTTTTTAATTTTTGAATAATTCATACTTAACTCGAAAAAACTCAAAATTAAGTTTAAAAACACTTTCATTCATTAATATTTTATTTATCGTTTTCATCCATTTAATTTCGAACGGTCATTTTATTAATATTTTGCTCGTCACAAAAAATGTATATTTACGTTTAAAAAATTTATAGTATATTTGATACAAAAAATCAATTTAAGTAATAAAAAGAAGAAAAAAACATATAATCAATATTCACTACTATATTCAATCAAATAACCACAATTTGTTAAATATAAGTCAGATTGGATCTAATCATTTAAGACTCATTCTGTATATAAAATTTGATAGGAGAAAATGCAAATTCAAGTTCAAAATATGATTAGGAAGTGAAGTAAATGTTATAATTTGTAAAGAAACTATAGACAAATTTTAAAAAATTAGAAGAGTTAATGTTTTGATAGAATGCGTGAGTGGGAGAGTCATGAGAGTTTAAGAAAAAATGAAAAAAAAAATGCAAATCTATTGTAATTTTGTCCCTAATTGATGGAGATTAAAATCAAAAATTTTTTAATTTTTGATAAAAATTGAAAATTTATGAATCTCGTTAATATGTTATTAAAATTAATTGTTAATCTGGAATTATATTAAAATTTAGATTTTAATTCATATCAATCAGTGCTTTATTTTATATAATAAATACCCCCTCCCCGTGTCCACCCCTACTGTTGCTGCTTCACATCCTCGTAATGATCATGACAATACTTTTCCTATTCACCAAGCAAGGTTCATTTCATTTTCCTAAAGGAATGAAAATTTTTACAATCAACGGGACAGTTAATTGTAGCAAAGGTCACAGAATTTTCACCACACTTACAAGGAGGTTATCGAACTTCAATTCCTAGCTATTAGGTCATTCCGTTAGTGAGACATTAGAATACTTAATCAAAATTGACGATGTTGACTGTTGACCTCCAAAAATGGCTCCAACAGGCACCCTAGCTTCGTCCCCTCGAAACCTGCGTATGTAGCACCCCGTCAAGAGGCAAAGGCGGCCGGACGAGAAAAGGGTCCGGCGACCGTTTGCACTCCGACGGTCAAGTCAACGGCCGAACGAGAAATAGATATATAGAGTGCAATAGTAGAGAGATGGGGGATTTGGCTAGAGTATTTAGAACATACCTTAACTTGTGAATTGAATCCATATATATAGAGAAATGATGTAAAATGGGCTAAGGCGGGTTAATGGGCCTAAGTTCGAGCCCAGTATGAGGTGAGCAAAGTGATGGGCACTTCGGCTAGGCTTTTATGGCCTCGGTGGCGCCTCGGCTAGGCTTCTTAGAGCCTCGGCTTTGAGGCCCAACACTAATGGGCCTAGCTCGGGTCCAATAAGGTGGCCCAATATGGAGTGATAATTCATAGGCGTAACAGTAGTCCCCCAAGTCCGAGTCGTGTTATTTATATGCGGGTCGGACTTGAAATATAACTCTCAAGTAGGCGAGGTCTTACAGGTTGCCTCAGAAAGATGGGTAGCTCCAATAAGTGAGGGCTTACGAATTGCCTCGAAAATATGCATCGATCTCGAATAGGCGAGGACTTACGAATTGCCTCGAGAAATATGAGTCGCTCCAATAAATGAGGACTTAGGAACTGCCTCAGAAAATGTGTCAGAATAAGCGAGGTCTTACGAATTGCATTGAAAGATATACTGCGTATACTTTTTCAAAATTTCGACAGCATCTCTTCTGTAATATGGACTAAACCAATCCTGCGAGGCTTGTGAGTGTTGCGAGGCTTGTGAAGGCTAAATTGTAAGGCTCAAGCTGCTGAGGCACCTGCTGTCGAGGCACCTCCACCATTGACTGGGCTTAGTGTAGAACACTTTTCACTGTAATCTATCTTCATCACATGCTGTTTTTCTCCGAAGTGTATTAGCCTCGTTAAGCAATTGAACTTTACTTAAGCATAATAACTATAACCTGAAGGGATCCAACGAATGCTGTTGCAGCCGAACTTAAGCATAATAATTGTATGAGCCTCGGAATTCACGTGAAGTGGCTTCTCCCATTGGCGTTCAGTCTCGCCAAAAGGAGGCATGCGCTAGCACCTCGGAGTTCAAGCGAGGTGGCCCAGAGATGGGACGCGAGCCTCTCCTCCGAGGTGACGACGCATCCCAGACATGGTGGATGGTGCAGCCATGTTGGGGCTTCTCCCCTTGGCGCTCAGCCTGGCCAAAGGAAGGCATGTGCTAGCGCCTCGGAGTTCAAGCGAGATGGCCCAGAGATGGGACGCGAGCCTCTCCTCCGAGGTGACGACGCATCCCAGACATGGTGGATGGTGCAGCCATGTTGGGGCTTCTCCCCTTGGTGTTCAGCCTGGCCAGAGGAAGGCATGTGCTAGCGCCTCGGAGTTCAAGCGAGGTGGCCCAGAGATGGGACGCGAGCCTCTCCTCCGAGGTGACGACGCATCCCAGACATGGTGGATGGTGCAGCCATGTTGGGGCTTCTCCCCTTGGTGTTCAGCCTGGCCAGAGGAAGGCATGTGCTAGCGCCTCGGAGTTCAAGCGAGATGGCCCAGAGATGGGACGCGAGCCTCTCCTCCGAGGTGACGACGCATCCCAGACATGGTGGATGTGCAGCCATGTTGGGGCTTCTCCCCTTGGCGTTTAGCCTGGCCAGAGGGAGGCATGTGCTAGCGCCTCGGAGTTCAAACGAGGTGACCCAGATGGGACGTAAGCCTCTCCTCCGAGGTGACGACGCATCCCAGACATGGTGGATGTGCAGCCATGTTGGGGCTTCTCCCCTTGGCGTTTAGCCTGGCCAAAGGAAGGCATGTGCTAGCGCCTCGGAGTTCAAGCGAGGTGGCCCAGAGATGGGACACGAGCCTCTCCTCCGAGGTGACGACGCATCCCAGATATGGTGGATGGTGCAGCCATGTTGGTGCTTCTCCCCTTAGTGTTCAGCCTGGCCAAAGGAAGGCATGTGCTAGCGCCTCGGAGTTCAAGCGAGGTGGCCCAGAGATGGGACGCGAGCCTCTCCTCCGAGGTGACGACGCATCTCAGACATGGTGGATGTTGCAGCCATGTTGAGGTAATATTAGCTCTCCGAAGATAAGTAGATGTAACATGGCTGAGGTAGAAGCAAAATTCTGAACTGAACAGCTGTACTAATAACGAAGCAGAGGCTGACTCTGAACTGAACATAATAGATGTATACCAGCTGTTGACTTTTTAAGATTCGCTGAGTGTATGGTTGCTGCTGTGGTTGTAGGTTCAGCTGTCTCTACGGAACCGCTGACTCAGAGGACTTCACATGGGAGATGCTAAAGGTTGTGAAGCTGAAGGTTGGGACGCAGCTTCGACTGAGGTGCTGAAGCTTCAATGCCTACTTTGAGGAAGGAGCTCATCTGCCACCGATGCGCTGACCCACAGGGGACGACGCGTTGGGAGATGTCTAAAGTTTTGTAAAGCTCAGGAAGAAACACAGCCACCGAGGCGATAACCCACAGGGGACTCCGCGTCAGGTGTGTCTAACCTTTGTAAAGCTGAGTAAGGAGCTCATCTGCGATCGATACGGGAGATGGCTAAAGGTCGGTAAAGCTTTGACTACACTACAGCCGAAGCAATGACCCACAGGGGACTCCGCATCGGGAGGGTTGAAACTTTGTCAAGCTCGGAATGACGAGGACTTAGAGTCACGCTCGACAATAGTGAGAAGTGAGGAAGATATCTTGCGGAGCCTTAAATAAATATCTGACGATATCTCGAACTGTTGGAGTCTTATAAGCCAACCTTGAATAGACAAGGACTTAGAGCTAAACTCGACGATAGTAAGGCGAGGAAAAAACATCCCGCGAAGCCAGGGAGCATAGATCTGGCAAAGAGTCGAACTATTGGAGTCTTATAAGCTGGCCTTGGATAGGCGAGGGCTTAAAGCTAAGCTCGAAGATAGTGAGGCGTGAGGAAAAGACATCTCGCGAAGCCAGGGATGATCACCTGGCGAATTGTCGAACTAACGAAATCTTATAAGCTGGCCTCGGATACGAGGACTTAAAGCTAAGTTCGATGATAATGAGGCGAGGAGTAAGCATCCCGCGAGTGAGGTCAGGAAAGGCTCCTTTTGCAAGAGCTTACACGTCTGACAACTTGACTCGTCCTTTATTCAAGGAACAAAGACTTCAAACATATTGCCTCTTCCTTTATTCAAGGAGTGAGGACTTATAATATATCGCCTCTTCCTTTATTCAAGGAACGAG